CAGAAGCTTTTTAGTTTGATATAATCCCATTTGTTTATTTTTCCTTTGGTTGCCCGTGCTTTTGGGGTTGTATTCATGAAGTCTGTGTCCAGTCCTACTTCCTGAAGTGTTTCTCCTATGTTTTCTTTAAGAAGTTTTATTATTTCAGGGTGTATATTTAATTCTTTAATCCATTTTTAGTTGACTTCAGTATATGGTGAGAGGTTTGGGTCTAGTTTCATTCTCTTGCATATTGATATCCAGTCATCCCAGCACCATTTACTAAAGAGGCAGTCTCTTCCTCAGTGTATAGGCTTGGTGCCTTTGTCAAAGATCAGATGGTTGTAGGCGTGTGGGTTGATTTCTGGATTCCCTATTCTATTCCATTGATCAGTGTGTCTGTTTTTATGCCAGTACCATACTGTTTTGGTTATTATAGCTTTGTAGTATAGCTTAAAGTCAGATAGTGTTATGTCTCCAGCTTTATTTTTTTTTGCTCAGCGTTGCTTTGGCTATGCGTGGTCTTTTGTTATTCCATACAAATGTCTGGATAGCCCTTTCCATTTCTGAGAAAAATGTCATTGGAATTTTGATGGGGATTGCATTGAATTTGTATATCACTTTGGGTAGTATGGACATTTTCACTATGTTGATTCTTCCAATCCAAGAGTGTGGGATATCTTTCCATCTTTCCGTCTGCTAACCTTAGATTTGGATTGTTCTTGTTTTTCTAGTTCTTTAAGGTGAAGTTTTAGGTTGTTCACTTGCCATCTTTCCATTCTTCTGAGGTGAGCATTTAATGCAATAAATTTCCCCCTTAATACTGCTTTTGCAGTATCCCACAGGTTTTGGTATGATGTATCATTTTTTTCATTAGTTTCAAGAAATTTTTTGACTTCCTGCTTGGTTTCTTCTTGGACCCATATGTCATTAAGTAGAATGCTGTTTAATTTCCATAGAATTTTGTTTGTTATTGATTTCTAATTTTAATCCATTGTGGTCTGAGAAAATACATGGGATAATTCCAATTATTTTGAATTTGTTGAGACTTGATTTGTGACCTAATATGTGATCTATCCTGGAGAATGATCCATGTGCTGATGAGAAGAATGAATATTCTGAGGTTGTTGGATGGAATGTTCTGTAGATATCTGCCAAGTCCAATTGGTCTAGAGTATTGTTAAGATCTTGTGTTTCTCTGCTGATTCTTTGCCTAGATGATCTGTCCAATATTGACAGTGGGGTGTTCAGGTCCCCTGCTATTATGGCATTAGTGTCTATTTCCGTCTTTAGGTCTAATAGAGTTTGTTTTATAAATCTGGCTGCTCCAACATTGGGTGCATACCTATTTATGATTGTTATGTCTTCTTGATGTGATCCATTTATCAATCCTTTTATCATTATGTAGTGACCCTCATTGTCTCTTTTTATGGTTTTTAGTTTAAAGTCTATTTTGTCAGATATAAGAATAGCTACTCCAGGTCATTTTTCTTTTCTGTTTGCATGGTAAATCTTTTTCCATCCTTTCACTCTTAGTCTATATGAGTCTTTATGGGTGAGGTGGTCTCTTGAAAGCAGCGTATAGTTGGGTCCTCCTTTTTAATCCAGTCAGCCAGCCTGTGTCTTTTGATTGGGGAATTTAATCCTTTTACATTAGGAGTCGTTATTGAGAAGTGTTGATTTATTCCTAGCACTTTATTGATTGTTTGGTTGTCTTAGGTGTCTTTTGTTGCTTGCTTTCTGATTTACTGTTTGTTTTCTGTATTTGTTGGTTCCTTTGGTTGTAGATAAACTTTTCTTCCCCCTCTTCATTGTTGGCATTTTTATTTTACTAGTGGGTTTTGATTTCTCTTGTGTTTTTATGGCAGTGGTAGTTATATTTCAGGAACCAAACCCAGTACTCCCCTGAGAATTTCTTGTAAGGGTAGTCTTGTGGTGGTGAACTCCTGCAGTTTTTGTTTGTCTGAGAAAGATACTATTTGCCCTTCATTTCAGAAGGATAGCCTTGCAGGGTAGAGTATTCTTGGCTGGCAATCTCTGTCTTTTAGTATTTTGAATATATCATCCCATTCCTTTCTGGCTTTTAGGGTTGTGATGAAAAGTCTGATGTTAGTCTGATTGGGGCTCTTTTATAGGTGATATGACGCTTCTCTCTTGCACCTTTTAAGATTCTCTGTCTTTGAGGTTTGCCAATTTGACTATAAAATGTCTTGGAGAAGACCTTTTTGGGTTGAATAAGTTTGGAGATCTTTGAGCTTCCTGGATCTGAAGATCTGTGACTTTTCCTATACCTGGGAAGTCTTCTGCCACTATTTTGTTGAATATGTTTTCAATGCAATTTCCTTTTTCCTCCCCTTCTGGAATACCCATGACTTGGATATTTGAGGGCTTAAGGTTGTCTGATATCTCTCTCAGATTTTCTTCAATGCCTTTGATTCTTTTTTCAATTTTTTTTGTCTGACTGTAATTTTTTTTGTCTGCCTGTGTTATTTCAAACAGCCCATCTTTAAGTTCAGAGGTTCTCTCTTCAACTTCCGTAAGCCTGCTGGTTAAACTCTCTGTTGTGTTTTTTATTTCAGTGAATGAATTCTTCCGTTCGGCAAGCTCTGCTACATTTTTTTTCAGGGCACTGATTTCCTTGTACATTTCTTCTTTCAGGTCCTGTATACTTTTCCTCATTTCATCATGTTGGCTAGCTGAGTTTTCTTGTATCTCATTTAGTTTCCTTAGAATTATCACATGAAATTCCTTGTCAGACATTTCAAGGGCTTCTTGTCCTATAGGATCTAGAGCTTGAGAGTTATTACCCTTTGGTAGTGTACTTTCTTTATTTTTGATATTTCTGGTATCTGTTCTTTGATGTTTATTCATTGTGGCAGGGGGTTTCATAGTCGACAGGTTTGACATTGTTGTCTGACTAAGATGTTGCTGAATTGCCAATTTGGTATGGCCACCTCAGTGTCTGCCCAGTTGGCATCTAGTGCCTTGCATGTGTGGTTGCCTCAGGTCTTGGGTCTCTCAGGGGAGCCACCTCTCTGGTCAGCATGGACTTGGCCGGGCAGCTGGGTCACAGGGCAGTACCGCAGGGTGTGTGGTCTCTGCCGAGCTTCCACCTCCCCTGCTGGACATCTCCTTGTTCTGCGTGCACTTGGCCAGGCTGCTGGGATGCACGGAGGCACTGCAGAGGGTGTGGTCTCTGTGGAGCCTCCACCTCCCCTGCTGGACGTCTCCCTGCTCTGTGCACCCTGGGCTGGGCTGGGAATGGAGCTGGGTGGCGGCGGTGAAGCCTACCTGCTGGATCACGTGGCAGCTGCCCCACAGGGCGTGTGGTCTCTGTGGAGCTTCCACCTCTGCTGATGGACATCTCCCTGCTCTGTGTGCACTGGGCCGGGCTGCTGGATCATGCAGCGGCGGTGTGGTCCCCGTGGAGCTCCCGCCTCCCCTGCCAGACGTCTCCCTGCTCCATGTGCACTGGGCCAGGAGTTTTGGAGTTAAATGTTCAACTCCTCAGTCCTTTCTTTTTCAGCTTCTAGAATGCTGTCAGCCAGGCCTGAACTCTTCAGGCAAGAGATTGTAGGAATCTTCCTTGCAGACTCTGACAGCCTTGGAGAATTCACTTTTCTTTTTTCCTTCCAAGCAGATGGAAACAAAAATCAGTTTCTGAGGCTGGGAAGTCCAAAGTCCATCTGGTGGTGGTGACAGTGACCCAGGGGTCTCACATTGCAAGATGGTAGAAGCAGAGAAAGAGGATACTTCCTTTTTCATATTGGAACAACGAATAATTCTACTTTAGGACAAAAATTTACTCTCCTTTTCCCCTTATCATTTCGACTACACAAGATTCTCTCTCATACCAAAAAAAAAAAAAACTTTTTTTTCTCTTTCTCTTTTCAACTCTCTTTACCAATACACATCCTCATGACTTTATTTGCATTTCTTTCTCCTACTTACTGGTTACTTTCTTGCCTTGTTTCTATTTCCTTCCTAAATCCGTATTTTGAAACAACCTTTAAATAACTTCTGAATTAAACAAAATTATTTTTTAATTTTTTTTGTTTTGTTTTTTGGCAGCTGGCCAGTACATAAAATTACTTTTTATTAAACAAAAAACGTATTCTCGTCTCCTTTTTACAATTTTTCTCACCAATAACACATTTTATTTTTCTTGTACACTTTGCGTACAGAATTACATATACTAGTTAGAATTTTAACTCTTAGTAACCTTAATTTCTAGGGGAAAGTAAAGCAAAATCTTGAACTGGTTGTTATATAACAACATTTTATGAATACACATTTTATAATTTCTAGAAATATATGCTTTATTATAGAAAGTAATTTTCTCTTTCTGTTCTCATGACTGATAAGCATCAAGCAATTTATTTTCATTGTGTTCTTTGAATGGATTTATAGTTTTATGACCTTAAAACATCTACCAAAGACAAATGTAAACTTGTCTGACTAGCAAACCCAGGTAAAAAATGTATGTAGACAATTCTGAAGACATTTTAATTTCTATTTTTATCAACCATTTGAAAACCAACTTATTTATTAAAGATTTACTCAAGAAACAAACTTTAAAAGCCTTTTTGGGTTACCATATTTCTGAGAGAATGTTTAATTTAAAAAATGCTTATTTTCCTTTTTTAAGTCAAATTTTCTCATAAGTACAAATAGGATAGTTGTTTAGGATGAGAGCTCTCTCTCTACAAAAAGTACTTTTAGATATAAATGTCCAAATCTCCAAAGGCATACCTTCTTCGATTGTAATTCAGAATCAATAAGCCTTCTATGGCTTAACCATTGAACACAAGAGGCATCCCCAAGGAGGTCATAAAAGATGCAGTCCCCCTCAAGATCCAAAGTTTCTCCCACAGATAGCCTAAGAATGTAAAGACCCTCATTGTTAGCAAGACAATGAAGGCTGAGACAATTAAAAGAAACTCTTCTTATGACAAGTCAGACAAAAGACAGAAACAAGGAAAACAGGGACTATTTCTGGGAGGCTGGTGGATCAATAACCAATGGGCACCCAGAATCAAATTCACAAGAGTCACAATTCAAAGAACCAATTCTTACAAATGTTTTTCTATGCTGCCAATCCAAATTCTAAAAACAAAACAAAAGAAATCAAAGGAACAATGACACATTTTAAATCTTTTTCTTTCAGAAAAAGATCCAAGAGGGACGACTTTGGTAAGAATATCTACCTTCTGCTGGCTTTTGTCAGGTCTCTCAGGATGTCATCTGCAGGCTCCAGAGCAAGGGGAGTGTCTCAGCCTTTAAGGTCCTGGCTAGGTCCAAAAAATTATCAGGAGAAAAGCATAATACAAGTTTTATTTGGCATGGGAGCCCTCATGAGAAAGTGAAGACCCCAAAGAAGCAGTTACCAATACCAAAATACAGAGACATGTATAAACATAACAGACAAACACCAAGTTACTATAGCTTTCATTTAAAAATTTTAGTCATGAGGTTGTAAAACATGTACTGCTTCAGATTCAAACCTACAGGTTTATAGAAGAATAGTTGGATCCAAATTTTGTTTCTGACCAAACAGGACAAGATTACCTGCTCAGATGTCCAAACTTTTTACCAATATTTGGGGAGATGACTTTTAAGATTTCATTTGCCCTTGATAGGTAATCCTGTGAAGGTTGTGGAGCAAATCTTAGGTAGAACAGTTTTTACAGCAGTTTGGTTTTAAAAAGAAAAAGCTCTTTCTTCCTTTCTTTTTCTTTTTTTTCTCCCTCAGTCTCAAATGAGTTATTTTAGTTAACTCCTTGTATGTTTGCATTTTAACTGGGACAAACTGGATTGACTAGAATGACATAAAAAGAACGAAAATCTCCAAGTGGGCTTTGAACTCAGCAACAGCACATCCATGTTTTTGTTTTAATTTGTAAGACAAAGACAGTTAAGGCAATGGGTTTATCTCATTTGGAAATGACTCAGACATTTTATGAATATCTATTATTTAATTTCATTTGAACATTTCAAGTTACCAAAAATATTTTCAAGTAGATATATTTTATAAAACATAATTATTAAAAAGTACATTCATAAACTTTCAAGCCATTTACATTCACCTAATTTACTTGTTTTTAATAATTATGCTTGAATTTCTCCTTAAATAAAATTAGCTATTAAAGGAGTTCAGGAAACACCATTCCAAAATATGCATCTGCCGTAAATTCTCTTTTCAGCTACAAGCAATTATGAAGCAGCAAACAGAGGAAAAGCTCTTTTTTTTTTGTTTCCTGACCGGTAAGGAGATCACAACCCTCGGCTCGGTGTGGTCCGCACCACGCTCAGCCTGCGAGTGCACCGGCCATCCCTATATAGGATCTGAACCTGCGGCCTCAGCGCTACCAGTGCTGCACTCTCCCGAGTGAGCCACGGGGCCCGCCCCAGAGGAAAAGCTCTTTTTTTTTTGTTTCCTGACCGGTAAGGAGATCACAACCCTCGGCTCGGTGTGGTCCGCACCACGCTCAGCCTGCGAGTGCACCGGCCATCCCTATATAGGATCTGAACCTGCGGCCTCAGCGCTACCAGTGCTGCACTCTCCCGAGTGAGCCACGGGGCCCGCCCCAGAGGAAAAGCTCTAAAAATATTTTTCTCTTCTGTCTAAAAAATAGGTATAAATTTCTTTTTACTGTAGACAACTTTTAGCTCAGATATGGCACCAGAGAAATCCATAAACGAACCTTACTTTATTAGATTATTATTATAGTTTTGTACCCCTGGGAAACCTAGAACTCTTTTCCTTTATATCTGTGTATTTTTTAAAAAGTTTCTAAATAGGGCCGGCCCGGTGGTGCACTGGATAAGTGCGCCGCTTGGGAAGCGCGGCGGCGCTCCCGCCGAGGGTTTGGATCCCATATACAGACCGGTTCCCGCTCACCGGCTGAGCGAGGCACGGGAGCAACACCGAGGGTTGCAATCCTGTTGCGGGTCCCCGGTCCCCGGTCCGGTACGGGGGCAACACTGAGGGTTGCGATCCGTTGCCGGACACGGAAAAAGACAAAAGACAAAAAAAAAAAAAAAAAGTTTCTAAATAGGCAGCTAGATGACAGAAAGGTGTATTTTGGAGACTTATTTATTTCAATATGCAGTCTTTTGAACTTTGCTTGCTTCTCTTTTTTTGTTCATTTAATTTTTTTTTTTAGATATTTCGATTTTTTTTCAATTTTATTTATATTTATTTTGTGGGGTACAGTGTGTTGTTTTAATACATGTATATACTGCACAATGATTTACTTAGAGTAGATAGCATAATTTTGTATCTGTTAGTCCAGCCCTTCTCCTCCCTTCCCCACCAGCCTCTGGTAACCACTAGTCTACTCTCTACTTCTATAAAAGCGACTGGTTTTTTTTTAGATACCACATATGAGTGAGACCCCGTGGTATTTGTCTTTCTATGCCTAACTTACTTTACTTAACGTGATTATTTCCAGTTCCATTCACGTTGATGCAAGTGATAGGATATAATTTCTTTTTATAGTTGAATAGTATTCCACTGTGTATATATACCACAGTTGTTTTATCCATTCATCTGTTTACGAGCATTTGGGTTGATTCCATCTCTTGGCTACTGCGAATAGCGCGTTGCAATGAACATGGGAGTGCATGTGTCTTTGATATATTGATTTCATTTCCTTTGCCTATCTACCCAGTAGTAGGATAGCTGGGTGATAAGGTAGATCTATTTTTAGTTCTCTGAGGAAACTTCATACTGTTTTCCGCAATGGCTGTACCAGTTTACATTTCCACCAACAATGTAGGAGGGTTTCCTTTTCTCCACATCCTCACTGGCATTTATTATTTTTTGTCTTACTGACAATAGCCATTATAACTGGGGTGAGATGATATCTCATTGTGGTTTTAATTCGCATTTCCCTGATGATTAGTGACTTTGAGCATTTTTTCATGAGCTTGTTGGCCATTTGTATGTCTTCTCTTGAGAAATGTCTATTCAGGTCCTTTGCTCATTTTAAAAATTGGATTATTTGTTTTTTGCTCTTGAGTTATTTGAGTTCCTTATATATTCTGGATATTAGCCTCTTGTCTCATGTGGGGTTTGCAAGCACTTTCTTCTAACTGCAGGTTGTCTCTTCACTCTGTTGATAGTGTCCCTTGCTGTGCAGAAGCTTTTTGGTTTGATGTAGTCCCACTTGCTTGTTTTTGCCTTAGTTGTGCCTTTGTGGTCTTATTCAAAAAAGAGCTGTCCACTCCCATTTTGTGTAGTGTTTCCCCTATGTTTTCTTCTAGTAGTTTTATAGTTTGGGTCTTAAATTTAGGTCTTTAATCCATTTTGGGTTAATTTTTGTGTATGGTGAGAGATAGGGGTCTAGTTTCAATCTTCTGTATGTGGACATCCACTTTTCCCAACACTATTTATTGAAGATGCTTTCCTTTCCCCAGTGTATATTCTTTGCATCTTTGTTAAAAATCAGTTGGCTGTAAGCATGTGGGTTTGTTTCTGGGCTCTCTATTCTGTCCCATTGGTCTATTTGTCTATTTTTATGCCGGTATCATGCTGTTTTGGTTATTATAGCTTTATAGTATATCTTGAAGTCTGATAGTGTGATGCCTCCAACTTTGTTCTTTTTGTTTAAGATTGCTTTAGCTATATGGGGTCTTTTGTGGTTCCATGTAAATTTTAAGACCATTTTTTCTATTTCTGTGAAGAATGTCATCGGTATTTTGATAGGGATTACATTTAATGTGTAGATTGCTTTGGGTAATAAGGACATTTTGATTAAGTTAATTCTTCCAACCCAAGAATATGTGATAACTTTTCATTTACTTATTTCCCCTTCAATTTTTTTTTTCACCAATATTTTGCAGTTTTTATTGTAAACGTCTTTAATATCTTTGGTTAAAGTTACTCCTAGGTATTTCATTTGGGGGAGCAGCTACTGTGAATGGAATTACTTTCCTCATTTCTTTTGTTATTGGCATATAGGCTATTGATTTTTGTGTGTTGATTTTGTAACCTGCCACTATCCTAAATTCATTTATTAGTTCTAGCAATTTTTTTGGTGGAGTCTTTAGGGTTTTCTATGTACAGGATCTGTCATCTGCAAATAGGGATAGTTTGGTTTCCTCTTTTCTGATTTGGATGCCCTTTGTTGCTTTCTCTTGCCTTACCATGCTGACTATAACTTCCAGTACTATGTTGAATAAGAGTAGGGAAAGTGGGCATCCTTGTCTTCTTACAAATCTCAGAAGAAATGCCTCCAATTTTTGTACACTCAGTATGATATTAGCTGTTGGGTTGTCATATATAGACTTTATTAGATTCAGATACATTCCTCATATACCTAGTTTGTTGAGTGTTTTTATCATGTTGAATTTTATCAAATGCTTTCTCTGTTTCTATGAAGTGATCATACTTTTTTTCCTTATTCTGTTGATGTGATGTATCACATTTATTGATTTGTGTATGTTGCTGGTCAGTTAGCTCAGTTGGTTAGAGCACGGTGTTATAACATCAAGGTGAAAGGTTCAGATCCCCATACCATCAGCTGCCAAAAAATAAAAATAATTGTGTATGTTCAACCATCCTTGCATTCCTGGGATGAATCCTATTTGATCATGGTATGTGATCTTTTTCATGTGTTGCTGGTTCTGTTTGCTAGTATTTTGTTGAGAATCCTTGCATCTGTGTTCATTAGGGATACTGGTCTGTAGTTTTCATTTTTTTTTTTTCAGTTTTGGTAAAGGTTAATTTCTCTTCATAGAATGAGTTTGGAAGTATTCCCTCCTCTTAACTTTTTTGGAAGAGTTTGAGAAGAATTGGTATTATTTCTTCTTTAAATGTTTGGTAGAATTTGGCAGTAAAGCCACCTAGTCGTGGAGTTTTCTTTGCTGGGAAAATTTTTATTACTGCTTCATTCTAATTACTCAATATTGGTCTGTTTAGATTTTCTAGTTTTTCATGATTCAACTTTGGTAAGTTGTGTTTGGCCAGGAATTTGTCCATTTCTTTTAGGTTTCCCACATAGTTTGTTCACATATAGTTGTTTGCAGTAGTCTCTTGTGATCCTTTGTATTTCTGTGATATCAGTTGTAATGTCTCCATTTTCATTTC